AATTTGTAGAAATTATTATGTGTCATTTCCATGAACTGTGGACTTTCACATAATGATGGCCTATGCTGGTTCAAATTTTACGGAAATGATTATTTGATTTTCATCGAAATTATAATTTTATAGCAAAGTAGGCGATACTTGTGTAGATTATGTATTACGTATGGAATTTCAAATATTTTTTATTCCATTATAGGAACATGGGACAGAAATTTTCTGTCGCCATTCTTGAAAGAGAAGATCCAATTAGTATCTATACTGTTAGAAATTCCTAACAACCAAACCATATGGAACACCCTCCTCCTCCAGAAATGACATTATAAACAATTTTCTTTTTATTATTAAAAGACTGTTAACTCAAATCCGTGAGAATGTAAAAATTCAAGTACTGAGAATGTTATTTAAACGATTTCTAAGTTGTTTAATTCATTGTTTCTCAACCGCCGGTCCACGAAATATCCAGCTATCTCTCCCAAAAATTGTGCCAGTGGGTCGAATTATTAAACTTACCGGTCCGCGAGAACGTACCGAAATATTTTACCAGTCCTTAGAGCAAATCCAGTTGAGAAACACTGGTTTAATTAATATTTAAAATGTAATTGATTGTTATTTAACAGTGTAATAGTAACTTTTCTTCGTGTTTCATAATGGAAAGACTTCTCATAAAATAGTTAGGGCTATTTGTTTCCATTCATCTTTTACTTTGTAGCGTCCAGTCTTGGTAAAATTGCGCTTAAATGAGATCGTTCTAGCAAGTCAGAACAGTCCATAGATTGAGATGTCAAGGAACTCGCGGAAAAATGTGAAAAAAGTATGCATGCAATATCTGTAGCAGTCCTTGTATTTCCCCAAAGAAGCTTCTTAAGTGTGACTAGTAGCTTTGTCGTGATACAGTTGTACTCTTTGATAAAGAAATGGCATATCGGTCTTGGTGTGAAGTTATTATTTGATAAAAAATGGAATATCAGACTTTATTAATGTCATTAGTTTATTTCAACAGTTTTTTCCACTTTTCTTGCTTTTAATTACCTATCGTAAAGAAACCTGCAGCACCTCTTATTGAAACAAACTTCTCTTACATTGTTGAAACCTGGTTTGTACTCTCTCTCTCTCCTTTTTTTTTTTTTTTTCCCCTGCTCGTTTTCAATAGTAAATAAACTCTCCTGTCCTTCCCGCAGTCGTGTAGGAAAGTTTATGATTCATGAAAGGTCACAGTGTATTTCCATTTATCTCCTGCTGAACGGTGTTTATGCAAGATTCTAAAACATATTTTACGTTCAACATGCCCCCGCAAAAGTCGGTAAACTTTTTTTAAAAGTATTTTTAAGCTGTAAATCTTTGTTTATTTTATTTATTGGTGCTTCAAGTACATTAAAGCTGATTTCTGGTTGCGGATTATCTCTTATTGTCAGAAGTTTTGTTTAGAAACATTAAAAACAATAAACATCTTTCTCTGGTATTTGTCTTTTTGACAGCTTTTCCCTTACTGATTAATAATACTTATTTTGTATTTAAAAATCTACATACCGTACGTTTCCCGATGTTTTTGGAATGCGGAATAAGAATATTTCTCTTCAAAAAGAACGAAAATATATCCTTTCATTTACAGCTTGTTTACGTGAGACATTTAGAACAGCAACAATTTTCAAGGTAGCAGACGATATTTCTTATTTCAAATTATAGGCTGTTGCAAAAAATTTCTTCCACCGCAACTTTTACTATGTTTCATTTTTTTATTCAGATCGTTTTAAAAGTGTCTTTATACGCCTTCCGTATTTAAATAATTAGATTCAAGATATGCGTGAAAGCCAAAATTAAATAAAGCGAGACATCTGCGACCAAATGTAAACAAATAAAATAAAGTCAAACTAACCATTTACAGTCCAGAATATGTAAAACGATTAACATGGGCAGCGTGTCGTACATTTTGGACAGAACAGAATGAATTCCTATTGAGATGGGAGATAGAACTGTGCCAGATCAGATATTTTTCTGTGCTATTAAAGCCTGAGCTTAAAGAGCAAAATGTCGAGTAAAAATGAGAAGCAACAATGGGCGAAAATCAGTTATGATAAGGAGCATACGTCGGTATGATGATTATCCAGAATTAATGATAATTACGGTTAATATGAATTCTTTAAAAATGCTGAGAACTCCATCATGAACAGTAATCCGTTTGCCCCGCATGTTTGGAGGCTATATAGGATATTCCAGTTGGATTGGGTACGAACGGAGAATAGTAAAACGTTGGCCAGATAAAACTCTTAATTTTAAGGGAATGTGCGAAGTTTTCTTGATCAGAAAGAAGGCGGTTACTAGAGGTAGTGTTGGAACCCTTGATAGAATCTATACCAGAAAGAATTTTCGCTTACTGATGGCCGAAGGGTTAAGAACGCTGAATACTGGTAGTTCGATCCGGGTTCAAATCCCGGCGAACGGGCTGGCTGCATGGGCATATTTGTGGTTTTCTCCTTGTGTAGCGTGAATGCGAGCCAATTTCTCCCAAAAATCTTATCCTTTTCTTTAGGCTGGTAGCTCTTGCGCGTTTTGCCATAATCAAGTAAACAAAAATGTTTTCAAGCTTATCTTTAACCACTGAAGTGAAAGATCGCACAAACAGATCTTTGTGTTGTACTATCTGTATGATATTTTGCCCCTTTGATCTGTACGGTGGTTAGTGAACCCAGTTCTGTATCGTTGTGCCCGTGTTCAATTCTGGATAAACATGGATGACTGTAAATGTATAATGTCTTTGCGGTGAGGGGCACTTACAATCCAAGTCTGGAAGTCTCTTTGAGATGTTAGGGGTAGAGAAAAGGGAAGACCCGCAGTTTCTGTCCTCCTTTTGAATGGCATCTTTGATCAGAATTAGAATAGAGCTTGGCAAAAGTTGTATGCATGTAAGATGTCCAAGGCTTTTTTTTCCAATTAGCCGTAATAAATTCGTTTCCATTAAATAATTGCTGTTTCTGAAGTGGTAGTAAGTTTTGCTTTTTTTCCCCTACTTTTAATAATAGAGTCTGAGTTTAAAAGAAGGATTGAATTTTATTCTTAAATTATTAGTGATTTTTTTATTCTCAGTCTCTGTTTGCGCATGAATATTATGTTAAATTTTTCACTTGATTGGAATTTGGATGGCTTTTTTATCATCCGAATCGAAGGGCCTTGGGCGATTTTTAAGTTTGTAAATGCTGTTGCCTAATGCAATGTAGTCGAATTTCGGTAAGCTAAAATTGAAAGAAAGGGGAAAAAAGTATTCCATCAAAAATTCGAGTGCCTAAAAACGTATTTATGGCTGTATGCAGTTATGTGTATACATTCATTTAATAAGTAAACCGGGAATGATTGCCTATATTAACGATAAAGATAATTTGGGTTAATAGAAATTTAAAAGTATTGTTAAATTAATAAAAAGAAAATTCGGGTTTTTAATCGTGTAGAAAAAATATAAGAAAGGGCTTCACGAAGTGATAGTAACATTAAATTGTATGGTTCTGATGAAGAATTAGACGATATTTATGCGAACTGCATAGACTAAATATACAATAATTAACATTTATAATATTTATTAGTTTTTATTGTTATTATTTTTTTACATTTTATAATATTTCTTTATTTAAAATACGAAAGAAATAATGAAACAATGTAAGTTTCACAGTTTAGTACTACTTTTCTAAAATTAATGGCAGTTGTTATTATTATTATTACTGTTATTGTGTTTCTGAATAATTAAAAGATCGAGAGTGCGCTTTGTGGGGTAATTGAAGCGCACAAACCTTGGAAGTTCAGATTACGCTTCGTACTCGTATTTGAAAATTCTGCGCAGGATCTTTGTCGCATGACCTCTATAGTTGTGGAGAATATCTTTTTCGGCTTACCAAGAAAAGAAATGTCAATTGAGGGAGGGGGGGAGCATAATTCGAAAAAGTTTAACTTACCGAATGTTTCGAATTAAAGGAATTCGTTTTACCAAAAAAACTTAGCATTAATGTTCAAATAAATTCCATCTTTGGGAAATATTCAGTTTGAGTCATCAAAAATTTCATATTCTTGGAGTTTTACTATATCTGCTTACTAAAGCTGGTGTTTTTTTCCATTACAAATTTTTTCTTTCTTTCTTCATTTAATACTGGGATGAGGAACATTCATATTTCATTTCATTAAAGATAGGCGAATCTGATAGCGTGTTAACATCGGAAACTTGGCCCCCAACGGCCGAACGGTGAAAGCCAGTGAACACTAGTTTTTCGGTCCTGGGTTCGAACCCAACGGGCGAACGGGCTGGCTGCATGGATGTTTTCGTGGTTTTCTCCATGTGTAATGTGGATACGAGCCAGTTTCCTTTAAAAAGTCCTCTGCGGGGCATCCCTCCCGTGCCGTGTAATGCCTAACGCCGGAGCACGTAATAAATAAATAAACAGACAGAAGTTTCAAATTGCATCACGCTTAATTTGTTCGATATTAAGCATTGGCATTTACTACTTAAAGATGTATTCTTTATTTCTATAAAGGTGATAAATTTGTTTTTCCAATGCTATTACGTAAATTCCTTTATGAATCTGTACAATAAAAAAGAGGAACAAATAAGTATATTCCTAAGCTGTCTGAAAGTGAAAGCTCATTTGTCTTATTTAAAATAATTGCGTCAGTCTAAATTGTACTTTTTCCCCCTTTAACAATCTGAACTCTGATATTATGCAGCAACACTATATTTTAGTATAATTATTTCTATGAAAAATTGGACTTTGAAGGTCATTATATAAGCAGGATTGTAAATAGCAGCATTCATTTCCTGTTTGTATTTTACTGCCTTTAGTACCGTGTTGTTTGTTTCTAACTGTGTAGAATTTTTGTGACTGAAATTAACTGTTTTTCTCTTTGGGTAAAATAAAGTGTTTTCTTGAAGTTTAATATGAGTTAATACATGTTATTTACTTTTTGTATTTCATGTGTTTTGTATGTATTTTTGTAAACCCATAAAATGGTTTGGCTTTCCACTGTAGGTACGGCAATGAACACCATGGATATAAGCCAGATTTCTGAATTGGCTGCCATCATGGACACCTGGGCGCCTGCCAGCGGGTCCCAGATCATCACAAACTCTCAGCCTCTTGGCGTTCAGTCTCAAGAGTCGATAAACAAGGCCTTAGTTAATGTAATTAAACAAGAAGATGTTTCTGTATCTAGTGAATACAATTTTCCGGGTGTTCCTTTATCTACTACTTTACAAGGCTATATACCTGGTCATGTTGTAAATCCAACTTCTCCTGAACAAGTTCCAATGGATGACTTTGATCCTTTAGAATCATTTACGTTTTGGGATGGTGAGAACTTTTATTGTCACCAGGATTTTGAAGCATGTGCTGCTAATGCATGTGAAATGCAGACAGACAGTACTATGCCTCCTTTGCCCGAATACATAGGTGAAGACGATATTACCCGAGATGACGTATATCAAATCAAAGATCCAGAATTTTTACATAATCCTACTCTAGCAGAGTTGAATTCGTGTGGCGAGAATCTCTTTGATTATTCTACTGAACATAACTTTTTAACAGAAGACAGTTCTTTTCCTTTGATGGCTGATGGATTGTCTAAGACTTTTCCACCTTCAGATAGTCATTTCATCGCATCGCCTGTGAGCAGCAATATTGCAAATCATAGTTCCTTTGTGAGTGGTATGAATTATGCACCAAGCGGATTTATTGATGTAAAGCCGAATATTCAGCATTCTTTATCGTCTAGCTGTCCTATTCCATCCAGATTGATGCCAAATTCTCAGTACTTCGGCGCTGGTGAAGAAAAATTTCTAATGTGTCCCCAGAACAGTCCAGCTTCTGATTCCTTCTACATGCAGAAGTTGGAACCTATCGAGAGCAAAAGTCAGCTGTCCATAAATTCTTGTTCTGTTACACCTCCTATACATGCAACGCCAAGTAGATTGCAAGAAAGTAGTAACCTTTTATCGTCTTCAGCGCCCCCTGATGTCACAATGTCATCATTTTTCAATGTCAAAGTTAAAGTTGAGCCTCCATCCCATTCACCTGGCCCGAAGAGCACCGAGAAATCACTTAGCGGTTTTTCTTCGCTCTCATTGTCAAACGATGATGAAAGTGGAAGCTTCTTCGATGATGACACAGACCATGATGATGAAGACGATTTTTCATCAGATGAAGGTAAGGCTGTTCGCCTATATTATACTGTGTAAACTTTATGTTATACTGTATACTTCATACGTTTAGTAATCGTTCTAAAATTTCTTAAATTTGTTACATATTTTAGGAAAAAATTAATTTAATTTTTCTTTTATGATAATCTGAGTTGACTTCGTTAGTTCAGTCGAAATAATTATGCTGATTGTTTTTCTAATTTATGCTTTTAAACAGCGGTTCTCAACCTTTTGACTAACGCGTACCATCTAAACAAAAATTGAAAAACTTTAGTACCACTACTACATTTTGAAATGATTATTTGTCAGTTTCTGAATAGAAATATTGAAAAAATATTTTACCGTTTGCACAGCCTATTGGCTATTTATATTAAATTTGCACAACACATAAAAAATATAAGATTAAAAATTGGTTACCATTTTTACTACCAAAATTTAAGTTATAATAATTTAATTCTGAAATTTAGTGTGAAATTTTTAGTGTGGGCCTGTTTAAGAGAGATCAATTTCTTTATGTCTGTCTGGTTTTATTTCGCTTAGTTTTAACCGTAAGTTAGGATCCACTTTAAATTTTGTTCTGTATTTATTTTACAAATGTAACATGGAAGAATATCATTGTTTACACAAATAGGTTGTGCAAAATTTATTTTACAAATATAACATGGAAGAATATCATTGTTTACACAAATAGGTTATGCAAAAAGGCAATAAAAATTTAATAGCTTTATTTGAAATGCCTTTAAATTCTTTTTTTCGGTTCAGCCAAAAGTTAACGAAGTGTGTTATTTTTTAAATCTTCAGTTAGAGTTCGATCATAAGAAATGTCTGTCAACTGTTCTTTTTCTTCACGAGATTTTTGAATTTAGTTGTTCAAAATATTTTTGCGTACCATTTATTTTCCTCTTGCGTGCTATAGGTTGAGAATCGCTGCTGTAAAATAATATTTCATGATGTGAAACACTTTCTGGTCCAACGATAGCCGAGTGAATGAAACAGCTAATGCTTTAATAGTTCATTCCGGCCTTGATTCCTAGTAATTGTACAGGCTAGCTGCGTAGAATTTTCGTATTTTTCTGATGTGTGCCATAAAAGTACGTTTTAGTTTTTCTTTTTGCTTTTTAGGTTCCCTTTTTTATTTTAGAGTCTTAACCTATTTGTAAAAGAAGATAGTAGTACTTTATGTGATAAAATTACACATGTTTAAGAAGAACCAAAAGTAACACCAGCTTAAAATAAAGCAGAAACCAGTTTTCTGCCTTTGTTTTAATGAAACCTTCGACATATTTTAAGAGCTTATGACAGCTGCGCTTCTCGATGAGTATTTTGCTCCTATTAATGCAGGAGATCAATGTCAGGTTTTCTGAAATACATCGAATTTTTTAAAACATAAATATGAATTCTGCTTAATTTAAAAATATTTACTTACTTGCAAGTGACAAAAAGGTTTAGTTTGCAGTTTTCGATGTGTTTAATTTTTTATTGGTAAAGACGTGTTATTTTTTGTTCCTTTAAAATTGACTGGCAGTGATAAACATTGCAGGTATCTGTTTAAAGATAATAAAAAATTTTGTCGAATTCTTTCTGTGATTAAAGATATAAGGTATAAATTTATGTTCGATTCACTTGAAGTAGTACGCCTAAATTATTTAAATATCAAAATTAATATTTTCTGCTTTATTCCTGTCGGCTTAACCTAAAGTAATTTTTTTTTAAGCTTAGTGCTTATTTATGTGAAAATAATTGAAAAGAAAATCACCATATATAAAATTATGATTGAGAAAAATCATCTAATTCACAACTGATATTCATCTGCGAGTAAAAGGAAGTATAAAACTATTTAATATTTTACTTTCTCATTGATCTTAATTGGGTACTACGTAATGAAATTTTTTCCCTGTTCTGAAAGGACGTATAAAAATATCTAATATTTTACTTTCTCATTGATCTTAATTGGATACTACTTAATGGAATTTTTCCCTTGGAAACAGTAAATATTTAATAGCCAGTAATTTAGAAGTCAAACAACAAAAATCAGCGTTACATTTGCAAATTTTCCGTGTGGGTGTACAGTGATGCCAGGCCTGACTTCATCATTTTCGACGCCCTAGACAATCAGAATAGTTAGTGCCGTGTACGAATTAAACATATTAGTAATTCAAAACAAAATATGCCTTATTTCTCGATTATGAGTTCAACTTAGCTGATGCCGTGCCAGCCGTCTACGAACTTGAAATTACGAGAAAAATAATGATCTTGGATAATGAACTCGAAAACTTCCTAGGATAATGAATGATCCATGTGATTCTAAGTGATTTTGCTCTTCTGTGGAAATAATCGCTTTAGGGAAAATGACTGTCAGTGATGTTTGGTTACCATTGCTTGTTTATGTTCTCGAAATGCTGGTCATTCTGAGGTGGTCACCATGAGAGGCTCTAAGATTCCTCCCACCCCTATCAGGCCTATCAAGTTTGGCATTGAGCTTTACTTATTTTTTGTAATGATATTCTAATATATTTTCTTAACAGATTTTTACTTCCAGATGTTGTGTTTTAGATACTACTAAATGCATATCGATAAAATAGAGGTTTGGTGAGATTATTTGCACACGGCGAAAACCACAAGAGGTATCTACCTGAGGGGAAAGATAACTTCATGAAGGACTTTCTAAGGGAAACTGGCTAGTATACGCTCGTATACACTGGTGTGCAAAAATTAAGGACGAGACTGTTTTTTCAATATAACTTTGTACAAAAGCTTTCCAAATCAACACATTTAATACCGTAAGATCCCCAATACGTACGGACATGAGTAATGTAAGCAACACTTACTAAAAGAGAAATCAGAGGGATAAAAAGAAGCTTTATTGAAAAAGTAGCATGGAGCGCAATGCGACTGAAGGCCGAAACATCCCTGTGATGGGTGTCCAGCAAGAAACATCCGGTCTTTAATAGGGGATATGATCTCCCTGACTGCTAGGCAGGTTTAACAGCGTCTGCCCATGCTGAGAATGAGGGTGTCAATGAGTTGTTGAGGCATTGCTGCCCATTCGTCTTGCAGCGCCAATCGAAGCTCCGGAATCGTTACTGGGTGGTAAGGTACGAGCTGCCAAGCGTCTGCCTAGAAAATCCTATACATGCTCGATGGGATTGAGATCCGAAGATCGTGCCGGCCAATCCATACGTTCAATATCCTCACTCTCTAAGAGCTGTTCGGCAGCTACTGTGCGATGACATGGTGCATTGTCGTCCATGAAAAGGAACTGCGGACCCATAGCGCCTCTAAAAAGACGCACATATGGAAGTAGAATCTCGTTACAATAACGGGTCCTGTTGACTGAACCTGCGTCGAAGAGGTGGAGGTCTGTACGACTACCAAGCATGATGCCTCCCCAAACGAGAACACCGCCACCTCCATACCTGTCCCTTTCAATGATGTTCGAGGGATGATTGCGGCTTCCCCGCTCTCTCCAGATGAGTATGCGATGAGAATCGCTACTCAGACTGAATCTGCTCTCATCTGTAAACAGTACTCGTCCCCATTCATTGTCTCTCCAATTTCGGTGTTCCCCGGCACCACAGAGAACGCCTTCTCCGATGGGCAGGCGTTAGAGGTACACACCATACAGGGCGTCGTGCAAACAGACCACCACCGTGCAGTCTTCTGGCCACGGTAAAACGCGATATCGGTCGTCCAGTCGCCTGTGTCGTGTGTCTAGCGATTTCTCCCGCTGTCTGCTGCCTGTTTCTTCTGGCCTATAAGGCAATATACCGGGCATCTGCGGGTGTGGTTCCTCGTGGACGACCACTACTAAACCCCCGGATAGCTGTTCCTGTAGTTTGAAATTGTCTTCAAATTCGTGAAACGATGCTGTGAGCAATTCCGAACTCTTCAGCCACACTTGTCACACTGCGGCCTTCCTCCAACTTCCCAATGATTCGACCTCGGGTAAAAGCATCCATATGTCGTCTAACAGATTGATTATTCGTCATTTCTCGCTGAGGCAGCAACTCGGTGTGATTTTTAACTGCTATACGGCGTGCAATCTCTTTGCCAGAAATACTGATCTTACACCGACAACATGCTTTATACTACTCAGACACTCGGTCTCCATTACGTCTACCTGCATATCTGCGCATGTGCTACCGTACATCACCTTACTTAATCTCCTGACTGGTCTTTCTGTCTGCTCTGCCTCTTCGTTCAGCTGATATGCTAATTTTTCGACTTCGTCCTTAATTTTTTCACACCAGTGTATGTATATATGTTACGGTGAAAGACCGAAATTGGAGAATGTCGACTTTCACTGGAGAATATCAACATTCACCAAATACGTCGGTGAAAGACCGAATATTTCACTACATTCTTGTATATTCGGACCCTCACCGGTGTATGTCGACAATCACAGATATGCTCTGGTGAAAGTCGAAAAGAGAGGTCATAAAGTGCCATAATAGTTTAAGTTGTTGCAATAAATAAGATTTGAATCACATAATTTAGTAAGTTTTTTATTACTTTTATTTTATTTTCTCATTTAGAACGTACTGTATAATTAAGTAAGTTTTTAACTTCTATTATTTTCCTTTCTCATTTTGAATGCATTCTGTGTTTTAGGTTCTTAAGTTCTTATTTCAAGTTTCAAGTGCGTTTATTCGCGACTGAATTACGGAGAAGAAAGTATAATATTGTTATGTGTTCAACATTCACCATTAGTACATGGTGAATGTCGACATTGACCGGTGTAAGTCAGAAATAAGAGTATTTGGAAAATATTTCGGACATACTCCAAGAGACTATGTGAATGTTGACATTCACCGGTGAAAGTCGACATTCCCCAGATTTCGGTGTTTCACCGTAACATATATATACATGGGGAAAAACCGCGGAAACGCCCATGCAGCCTGTCTGTCCACCTGGAATCAAACGCAAGTCGGTACTTCCAGTGTTCAGCGACTTTACCGCTCGGTCGCTAATGGGCCGAATATGCAATCAGAAAAGCAGGAAAATTTT